TAACCTGTCATTTGTCTTCTGAGGTTTGTTCCAATCTTTTAACAAAGCAGAATTGTTTTCTCATCTATTGATTTCAGGTGGATAAGATCCAGCTTGTTCTGAGAGTTAGTCCTAAGCATATTCCCCTTGGCCAAAGATATGATTGAAAGTACTAGTGCCTAAGTTGATACATTAAAAAAAAAAACAAAACAAAAAGCCTCAGTGATCGGCACCACTAAACCCAGGGCAAAACAAAAAGGTGCTAGTAATGAAACTTCTTCCAAGTAAACATTTAATTAGGTTTTAGAATTTTCACCTTAAAGATAGATTTTCTTTCTAGAAAATGAAAATTATATGTACTTAATAAATAAATATATCCTCAAAACTAAAAATTCTCCATGGAGAGAAAAATAAACCAGAAAGGATTAGTAAGGTAAAGAGGTAAAGAAGGAATGCTTGAAAGAAAAACAATCCATAAGAAAAAAGACTCTAATAGTTGTTTATCACAAACCTGTGAAACTAGACAGCAAATTTGATTGCTATTTATGTCTGCTGGAAAAATAAACAATTTATTTTCTCTTATAACCTTCTGAGATCAATTAATAGGCTTTCAAAATCCTCAGTCTTACTGGGGGCACATTGTACATAATTCTTCAGTCTTATTTTTCCAGCACAAATTATTGCCCCAATTAAGTAAATCAATATTCTTCCAACTTACCTTGAATCAGTTGACTTTGCATGCCTGGAATGTCCTTTTTGCTCTCCATTCAAATTATTTCTACCTCCAGGAGCATGCTCAAGTTCCACTATTTTTATACTAATATTTCTCTACTTCGAATTATTTTAACAACTTCAGTTTGAATGACAAGAGAGCACTTGATAATAGAGTATCTTCTAAAGATTGCTACTCAACAGCAGGAAGTGCTTTTAGCAGACATGATGAATGTCCAAATTTACCTCTATAGTCTTGGGGAGATTTTCCAAAAAACTTGGCCTCAGTTTATACATCTGTCAACTGGGTACTTAGAAAATGGTCCTTATTTTGTAAATCTCCTTGAAGTATTTCTTCTTTGTTAGTGTTTATCTCCTTTTTATTATTAAATTGTAAATCTTTGATATATCATATATCCTACTTTAAAGATTTTCTCTCATTTTAGAACAAAACAAAGTGCATAAATATGAACTAATTAACTCTGGCATTACTTTGGTTAGGATAAAATTGTTTAGTCAGTTTAACATATTTATTTTGCATGAACACACACACACACACACACACACGACATTGGGAAATATATATCTACTGAAATGTCAAAATTATTTGTAATTGCCAGTTTGAACACTGTATTCTTGCTGAGCAATGTGGCTGGTACTGGGGACTCTTCTGTTTAAAGCTGGGAGTATAGTTAAATATATCGCCTTCCACCAGAGCATGAACCTCTAAATTCCATTTATTAGATGCTCTCTGGGTAGATGCTGAGTGCCCTAATCAGTTTGGGTTGCTGTTACAAATACCATGGACTGGATTACTTCAACATTTATTTCTCATAGTTCTGGAGACTGGGAAGTCTGAGTTCCAGGTGTTGGCAGGTTGCGTCTGGTGAACGCTCCCTTACTGGTTTGCAGATGGTCTTCTAGTTGTAATCTCACATGGGAAAGAGTGGATATCATCTGTCATATATTTCTTCTTATAAGGGCATCAATCTCATTCATGAGAGCTCCACCTTCATGAACTAATCATCTCCCAAAAACACTACCTCCTAATACCATCACCTTGTAGGTTAGGATTTCAGCATATGAATTTTTGGGGGAAACAAACATTTAGAACATAACAACGAGAGCAGCAATTTTATGTTGAATGCTCTATTAGGCAGTTCTTGCATTGCTACAAAGAAATACCTGAAACTGAGTAATTTATAAAGAAAAGAGGTTTAATTGCCATGGTTCTGCAGGCTGTTCAGAAAGCATTGTGCCAGCATCTGCTCTTCTTCTGGTGAGGCCTCAGGAAGCTACTACTCATGGTGGAAGGTGAAGTGGGAGCAGGCACTTTACATGCCAGAAGGGGAGCAAAAGAGAAGGGGAAGAAGCTACACACTTTTAAACAACTAGATCTCCTGAGAACTCACCCACTATCTTGAGAACAGCACCCAGCCCTGAGAGATCCACCCTCAAGACCCAAACACCTCCCACCATGCCCAACCTCCAACCCTGGGGGTCATACTGTAGCATGAGTTGGAGTGGGCTAAATTTTCAAACCATATCAAATGCAAATTTGATTGTTGTAAGTCTTGGTAGTAAAATTGTGCTGCAACAGCCACTAGGGAGCACCTATCCTCATTGATACATTTAATATATAACATAATGACTTCAGAATTAATTGTGTAAGTTTAGGCAAGTTGTTTAATCTATTGTGCTTAAATAATTCCCTTTCTCATAGTGTTTTTATGCAAAAAAATGAGATAATATTCATTAATTTGCTCAGCCCTAATAAGAACTCAAATTATACATATACTACACATACTTAAGTTCTAGCATATAGAGTATTTATAAAAATTTGAACATCTTCAAATATACATTACTCAGCAACAAAGTCATTTAAGAACACATAAACATGGGACCAAGATCAATGTTTAAATACGCTGCCACAGTTATTTCCAAAATCTTATAAATATGTGCTGCTTAAGTCAGAGTTACAAGACCATATAAGTCCTCTGGCTTATGATCATTCAAGGCAGAGGTGACACAAAATCACATGGCGTAATGTCTGGGGGACTGAGTAGCCACTATTCCCAAGGCAGGTTCATGTGCTTAATGTTTGGACCAGAATGCTGCCCAGTACAGCTGCCTAGAAAATGTTCATTAGGGGATCCTGGACTGTGTAATGGGAATGAGGTGGTCTCATTCTACTAGAAAATGAAACAGACTTCCTGTATCACTCCACCATTTAATTGAAATATAATATTATTGTCCATGTTCTCAAATATATAAAGATCATTTCTGCAATGAATTGTGTGCAATGAAAGACACTGCATTTTTTCAAATCCCTTATGTGTTCTTAAGTCACAAAAACAGATTTTATAAATTCCCACACAACAACACAGAAGATTGGAATTCTCAGAGCAACTCTACAGTTTGGTGCTGACTAAATGTCTACTTACAGATTTTTTGTTTTTTAAGATATGGTCCCATTTTGTGACTGAGGCTAGAGTGCAGTGGTACAACCTCAGCTGCCCAGGCTCAAGCAATTCTCTCACCTCAGCCTCCCAAGTAGCTGAGACTACAGGAGCGGGCCACCACACCTGGCTAATTTTTGTATTTTTTGTAGAGGCAGGGTTTCGCCAAGTCACCCAGGCTAGTCTCAAACTCATGAGCTCAGGCGATCTGCCTGCCTCAGACTCCCAAAGTGCTGGTATTACAGGTGTGAGCCACTGTGCCTGGTCTGCATGTGTACATGCAACATGAGTTCTGAAAAATAAATTCTGAAGGTAATTTAGAAATATATAATGAATGACCATTTACTACAGGGTAAATAATTACTGCTTGTTGAAGGGGCATATTTCTTGAGATTTCAACATTGTTTTTGAAAAACTAATGAAAGACATCTATATCATCTGACAAAGGTACTAGATTATTTTCTAAGTTTTGGACCTAAGGTCTTGAGAGTTGGGTAAGAATTTGAAGAAAAGGCCTGTGATGGTGTAATTTTTTCTAAGAATTGCAAGGAAAGGCTGTGTGTGGTGGCTCATGCTTGTAATCCAGCACTTTGGGGAGGCTGAGGCAGGCAGATCATGAGGTCAGGAGCTCGAGCCCAGCCTGGCCAACATGGTGAAACCTTGTCTCTACTAAAAATACAAAAATTAGCCAGGCATGGTGGCACGTGTCTATAGTCCAAGCTACGTGGGAGGCTAAGGCTGGAGAATCGCTTGAACCTGGGAGGCAGAGGTTGCAGTGAGCCAAGATCATGACACGGCATTCCAGCCTGGTGACAGAGCAAGACTCCATCTCAAAAAACAAACAAACAAACAAACAACAGCAACAAAAAGAATACAAGGAAATTAGATATAATGATGCTATGTCATACCCTTAAGTTGAGATTTAAACAGGGGAGGTCATATTTGAGGTAAGGTGGTTTTGATGAATAAAGGAAAAATCAAACTGAACTGTAAAGATTAAAAATTCAAAAGTCCATTGGCCACTTGGAAATAGGGCCAGGGCTTTGGGAGTGACTACACAAATGAGAGCCATAACTGGGAAATCGTATTTTTTTTCTCCATTTCTGATACAGTCCACTTAGAATGATAGTGAAGATATAGAATAGAATAGCTGTTTTCTAATCAGTGGTTTATAAAACTACCTCTTCTGTCACTCTTCAGTATAGTTTGAAGAAGAAAAAATTACATTTAAAACCCATTTCTATTTTCATGTCCAAAAAGAAAATCTACAACTTCCCTCTTACCTTCCCAAACAGATCAGCTTGTATTTTTATTAACTTCTTTTACAGTTCTGTTTTCTAGTCACAATTCACATTTTCATATTGTTATATTCTAAGATTATTAGATGGAGTGAACTAAAGTGGGGCTTTGATCTTGCCCTAAGGGTTCCGAGAGTAATTCCATTTCATCCTTTTTCTTTGTTTAGAGCTCCTCAGCCCTGCTGCTTCAGCTCCAGCTGTTTCTTATCATATCCCTGAAGTCAATTTGTTGTCAATGTCTGCGATGTAGGAGTTATTCAAATGCTTATGAAAATTTCAATCTTGCTTGCTTTTCTCACCAATTATGATGTTCATAATTCTATCTAAAGACCAATTAAAATTTGTATAAACTCTGTGTTATAATTTCAGTAACTGTCTTTGAGATGGTTTTTAAATTTTGTTAGAATTTTGCATTTTGCTTTCAGGAGTCCTTGGTATGCTGTTTAATTTCTCTCTTATCCACATATTAGACTGTCATTAGTTGCAGAAAGAGCCATGATTTTACTTTTTAAAATTTTATGGGTACATAGTAAGTATATATGTTTATGGAGTACACGAGATGTTTTGATACAGGTTTGCAATATGAAATGAGCACATTAAGGAGAATGAGTTATTCATCCCCTTAAGCATTTATCCTTTGAATTACAAACAATTCAATTACATTCTTTAAGTTATTTTAAAATTGTAGAATTTATTGTATAATTAAATTATTATTGACTATGGCCACCCTATGGTGCTATTGAATAGTAAGTCTTACTCATTCTTTCTATTTTGTACCTGCTAAACATCCCCAGCTCGTCCCGAGTCCCCAAGTATTACACTCTTATGGCTCAATAGTTACGGACTTTTCTCCACATTCTATACCATATTTTAAGACTATCAGACGAATGTAGACTAAGAGATTTCCTTCATTAGTCACCTGAATCCTTCAAGATTTCTTTATCTCTCATCTGTTCTTTTTTACAGGTATAGCCATAATTCTCTTTTTAGTCATGGTTGAAATATGCTGAAACAGTGGCTTACCATATTACATTTAAGCTCTATCATCTCCAGATCACATTACAAAACATTGATAAAGCCTTAAAACCTCAACTGTCTCTGACATTTTTCCCCAAAGGCTACATTGTGACCGTAAAAGCTACCCCAATATTGAAAGAAAAGGTAATGAAACAAAATTCTCTTCCAAGATTCCTCCCTTTCACTTTCTCCCTTCCAGTTACCAAGAGTATTTGTGTTTAATATAAATCTTGAGGTTTCCATATTATATTAATGATAATCTAGCCTATGAGGATCTCAGAGGTTTGAGCAAGACAGGGAAGTCGACTTTCATATCAGTTACCTGAGGAAAATAAGAATACCAATGAAGAACTGTAAGCATGGAAACCTATGACTTTGAAGCCAAAGACTTGTGCATGGTAGAGAATAAATAAATACTCTGCCTAGTGGAAGTAGGGGTATGGTAGGAGGAAGCCATGTATTAAACAATAGACCAGAAATGAGAAAAATACATTGCAAAACATATATTTGAGATTTATGTTACCCTGTGTGTGTTTTGCTTTGGTTATCCTTTAGCTATTAGCAAATTTTTTAAATGAGTGCTTTATCTCAACACAGTTTTTGAATTTAAAGCATCATAATGTCTAAGCTTAGACTCATATGTTTAAATGAAAGAACAAGAGTTGAAGATCTGTGAAATGGACAGTAGGAGTCACTAACTGATCCGGAGATGGTGAATCTTCAGAGAGAAATTGCTGTTGTCTAATGTAGCCTTCTGCACATGGCAATTATGCTGCTTATTAGAAGTTCTGAGGCTCATTGTTACTAAAAACAAACAAATAAACAAAACTTTAATTTGTAGAAAGACCCAAGAAAAGAAAAAATGATCAAATTAGAGATAGTGAGTTGTAGCAGAATAAAATTGTAGCAGCCATATGAAGTTCAAGTCTAATATTAGAAGACCAAGAACCTATTACCTTCAACATGCACAAAGAAAATACTCCGTATATATCCAAAGGACTATAAATCGTTCTACTATAAGGACACATGTACACGAATGTTCATTGCAGCACTGTTTACAATAGCAAAGACCTGGAATCAACCAAAATGCCCATCGATGATAGACTGGATTGGGAAAATGTGGCACATATGCACTATGGAATATTATGCAGCAATCAGAAATGATGAGTTTGTGTCATTTGTAGGGACATGGATGAATCTGGAGAACATCGTTCTCAGCAAACTGACACAAGAACAGAAAATGAAACACCGCATATTCTCACTCATAGGCGGGTGATGAAAAATGAGAACACATGGACACAGGGAGGGGAGTACTAAACACTGGGGTCTACTGGGGGGAAAAGGGGAGGGCCAGCGGGAGGGGGAGGTGGGGACGGTTAGCCTGGGGAGAAATGCCAAATGTGGGTGAAGGGGAGAAAGGAAGCAAAACACACTGCCATGTGTGTACCTATGCAACTGTCTTGCATGTTCTGCACATGTACCCCCAAACCTAAAATGCAATAAAAAATAAAAAAAAAAAAAAGAAAATACTCCATCAATGTTTGCTGACTGCTTGTGAAAGACCTCTGTTGTCCCTTTGGCTGCTCCTTGCTCTTCTATTTGTCTCATAGAGTCTCTCTTCACACAGAACCCTCTCTGGATACCAGCTTCACCTGAATGAAACAAGTGGCATTCACAGGCAATCCTCCAGTATTAAAGGTCATATATCCGGTTTCTGGTTTTACCTCCAATAGTTATGTAGTTATAGGTGGCTCGAAAAAGGTACTGTTGTGTAGCCTTGCTGGCAAGTGTCTTTCCAACGAGGAATATGATGTCTAAGTTAAAGACATTTGTAAAACACTGCCCTTGTCAGGATATTTACAGACATCTAAAATGTCAGTATATAAAATGTAAAAACAAACCATTTTTTGGTGAACTACACAAACACACACATTATTTTCTTATCTTTCACATAGTTTCATCTCTTCTCGATAGCCCTGGAACTCCATTGAGCAATTATTTTAACATTAGATTAGATAGGAATAGTTTTTGATTTTGGCTCAATTTAAAGTAATCTGAAAACATACCCTAGAACACACTTAATCCAGTAGCTGAAATCATCATAGCACTGTTACTAAAATATAGGCCCTAGGCCAGGCGCAATGGCTCACACCTATAATCCTAACACTTTGGGAGGCCAAGGCGGGTGGCCTATATATATATATATATATATATATATATATATATATATATAGGCTCTGATGCTAGTTCCTCCTCACCTCCATTCCACTGCTTCATCAGTTTTCTTGGGCAAGTTACTTAAACATTTGTGTTTTCCTTTCTTCCAATAGTTACAAAAATGCTGGGTACATGGTAAGTGCTAGTAAATATTTGTTGATATCATATAATAGCAGTTAAATTTCACATTTTTCCTCACATATGTAACTTTATCATGGCTATGTAATAAAACTGTATGCATAAATAATTGTCAAATAAAGCCTAAAATGACCTATTCTTAAGCCTTCTCTCATCCAAAGATGTAAATTAAATTTTAACCTATTGATGTGTTATTCCACGAGAAGGGGCTATCTAGGGCTGTTTGAAAAATATACAGGTTAGCTGTGGTTGTCCTCCAGATATCTCAGTTATGTGATACCTACATTTAGAATAGTTGAAAGTGAGGTCTGGCAAGATGTCATCTATCCAGAGATATATACACTAGAATCCAAACTCCTTAAGGTAAGGGTTTTTTGTCTCTTTTTTCACTGTCCTCCAATAATGCCTATAAAATTACTTGGTTTACAATGGTACATAAATATGTATTGCATAAAGGCTATGCAATATTATTACTAATGTGTACTGAAAAGATTGTCAGTGATTTTAAATGAGAGTCACAAATGAAAATCTTACAGCCAGATGCTCTGTTTCTGAAATTTGCTTCTTAAAGGAGCAACTCTCAATGTAGTACATTCCAGGCGGAAGTGCAGTCGGGTCTCTGTAGATTAGACGATTGTTTAGTAATGTTTTTCCCAAAAGACAATATTTGCAGATGGTGTAATTGTATTATAAACTATACAAGAACCTTTAGCAATACCTGGAATTTTTAGCAAGGTCATCAGGAAAGTCAGGAAAACACCCTTAAATTCTAAGAAACAGAATAATAAAAGCAAGGCAATATGATTATTTAAGACAGGAAAGTATAGTATCAAATTAAGGGGAGAAAGGTTTTTATATCAAAAGAAGAAAAAGCTATCTAAGTGGGGGCAGCCATCACAGTGACAGAATATTTCCGTTGCCCAACTTCTGTCCTTCAGCCTTTTTCCTCTTGAAATCTGGCTCTCTGTTGTAGAAATATAAAACCGTAGAAAATTAGAACCTTAAACATTTTCCACTGTGCTGTTTCAGGCAAATAGAGGTACAAATAATCCTGGACTATGAAGTTTCATTAATATTTGTCTTATAGATTTGTAAGTACTAATATTTTCTCAGAATGTTACTTTTAATTTTCCTTTTTTGTAGATAACCTAATTCAGTCAATACATTTACCTTAATAGAAATAAAAGAGGAAGGATTAAAAAATTTTTTGCGGAAGACCCAAAAACATAAAACAAAATTAATCATGATCACAAATAATGAGAGAAATGTCCCTAACAATTACGTTTCCTATTTATAGAATTGAGAAAAACAGTATTTAGTGTTAATAAGGGATACTGACACAGAGTTATTTATAAAATCGCTGTAGGAATGCAAATTGGTAAATACCTTCTGGAAATCAGTTTGATAACAAGTAAACATCTAAAACACTACACTTCTTTTTATCCAGAAAATTTATTTACCTTTATCCATATACTAAAGAAATAATCAGGAATTATGTCAAAGTTTCTTGCACAAAGATAATCATAATAACTTTATATTGCAAATATTTGAATGTAATCTACAAGATTAAAATTAAATGTTGTATTTGTTTATTAATATTTATTGCCAGATCATATTTAGAGTAATTCTAATTCAACCATTTAAGGCAAATGAATAATTAAGTTAAACATAGCTTGTACATATAAGAAATACTGTGTATCTTGAAATTATATAAAAATTTACATGTACTTATCTTGGAAAATGCTTTTCTTGTTAAATGAAGACACTAGGAATTATAGTTCACTGTATTACTATTTAATACAAATGTAGACAAGAAAATAATTGATGATAAATAAATTATAGAATGTTGAAAGCTGTTGCCTTTGAGTGAAGAGATTAGGAATGATCATTGAGAGCACATTCCGTAGAACAACAGCATAATACACTATGTAGATTTTTAACACAATTTTTACCATGACAGACCATATTTTGAGCTGTAGAATAAATCTAAGTACATTTCTAAATGATTTAAGTGGTAAAAATATAACACACAAAACATGTTAAATAATAAAATAGAATAAAATTAGGTATCTATATTAGAAATACATCTAAACATTTATAAATACTAGAAATAAATAATATATTTATCAACAATCAATAGACTAAAGAGAAAATAAGGAAAATTAGGAAGTATTTGGGACTGAATATAAAAACTTAACATTCAAAATTTGTAGTATTCAGGTAAAGCAGTAGCAAAAATGAAATGTATAGCACGTAAAGCCTCTAATGAAAATCAAGAAAAATTTCAATTACCTGATGATCCACCTAAAGAAACTAAAGAAGCCAAATTAAATATAAAGTAAAAGAAAAATAATATAATATAATAAAGATAAGAATGGAAATTAATGACCTATAAACTGCAAAACAGTTAAGAATATCTATAAAGCCAAATTATAATTTTTACAGAAGATCAGTAAACCTGATAAACCTCTAATCAGACTAATCAGGAGGAAATCTAGAGAGAAACACAAGCTATCAATATTAAAAATGAGAAGGGACATAATTACAGATTCTACAGATATTCAATGAAAGGCCTAAATAAATGGAGACAGCATGTTCATGGATCAGAAAATTTAATTTTTGAAGCTGTGAAGCCTTCTCAAATGACTTCTAGATTTAATGCAATCCTAATCAAATCAAATTATTTTTTAATATGAATCAATATGCTGATTCTAACATTGATATGAAAATAAAAAGGATCTGTAATCCCAGCACTTTGGGATGCCGAGGCAGGTGGATCACGAGGTCAAGAGATCGAGACCATCCTGGTCAACATGGTGAAACCCCGTCTCTACTAAAAATACAAAAAATTAGCTGGGCATGGTGGCGCGTGCCTGTAATCGCAGCTACTCAGGAGGCTGAGGCAGCAGAATTGCCTGAACCCAGGAAGCGGAGGTTGCAGTGAGCCGAGATCGCGCCATTGCACTCCAGCCTGGGTAACAAGAGCGAAACTTCGTCTCAAAAAAAAAAAAAAAAAAAAAAAAAAATACAAAGGATATAGGATAGATAAAACAATTAGATAAAGAAAAGTTTTAAAGATTTACCCTATGTATTTAAATCCTTATAATAATCAAGATGGACAAATAGATCAATTGAGGTGAAGAGAGAATCCAGAATCATAAAACATTAGTTGAGTTTTACAAAACTGCAAAGTCAATTGGTGAAGAAAGTACAATCTGACTGGAAAAAGTGAACACTTATACATATTTTGTAGTATATATAAAAATTAACTAAAATAAATCACAAATCTACCCATAAAATCTAAAATTATAAAACATATTGAATAATATATAGGAAAAATATTTGTGACCTTGAGTTGCAAAGATTTCTTAAGACACTAAAAGTATGATCCATGAAAGAAAAAAGTGATACATTAGACTTCATCAAAATTAAGAATTTCTGCTCTTCAG